ATTGAAATAAGTTGTTTTTTCTTTGTTTTAATCAATAAGTCTTGCGTGGCATGTTATGAATAAATTAGTGTTACTCTTTTGTATGCACGTCTTTAAATTATGAAATTTCCATTAAATAAATACAATCTTTGTTTACAATGCTTTATGAATTGTGTTGAGATGGTTAATGTTCACTGTTAGTATACTAAGGCCACGTACTAATTCTTTTTCACTATTAAAATGAACGGTTTAAATTTAGCTGGGATCTTCGGAAAGTGTTTCCTTAGTAATTCAAATAGCAATTGGGAAATTCTGTGAAATTTGGAATTGCCATTTTTTAATCATTAACCCGCTTTGTTAATCCCCAAATTTGTGAGAGCTACTAAATATTATCGTACTACAACTATGGCCCTTGCATTTGCATGTTAGACTGTTAGTGGTATTTTTAGTACATTTGAGGAGAGGTCATGAGTGCGTGGCTAAGTAATCCACTTATCCTATCATCTCAATTTTTTTTATGGCAAATGTTTATAATTATTTTTATAATTGTTCTGGGTGTATTATAGATGGACTGTGCATCTACGTAAGTACTTTGGAACATAAAATTTGTGGGGGGATCTCAGGTGCCATATTCTAAAGGAAAATGGTTTCAATTAAAATATATTAGTGAAATTGTGTGGCCAATATATATTGCTGAAATTTGTGTGGCATAATTGCAAACTTGAGAACTAGGAAAGTTACCTTAAAAGTTGAGTTATTTGGAATAGTGTAATAACTACACGGTGTTCTTAAGATAATAAAAATAATTTTAAGGTAGAATGTTGATCGTTTACTATTATTATATTGAGATACTAGAGAGGTATCGTTGATTGAGAACGTGTGTTGTATAAGAGAGATGCAACAAAGATAAATTATTGTTGGGATAATTTGCTGCACCAGAGAAGCATACCGATATGATATTTGAGAATTATCCATTGTATTATATTGATACAATGATGGTATATATAGCAAAGTGGGAATTGTTCGATGTGTTAGTGTGTTACATCGATGTTGTAAATGTTATTGAGATTATCCGATCCGTTGTATTGCGGGATACAACGACGACATCTGAGTATACTCACATGAGATAGTTTAAAATAGTGAATATCCATTCACCCTTAAAAGTGGTGCAATGATGTTTGAGAATGGAAATATCTCCATTAAATTTGTGAAGTTAGAAGGAATTGGCCACTCCTTTGACAGAATCCCTAGGACGTTAAATGATTAATTTTAAACATCGAGGGAAATGGACTAATGTCACATTGAAATAAATATGGATGGTAACCCAACCTGTGTGATTGGAGATCCCATGAAGCAGGTTCAAATGGGTAATAACAAGTCTTCTATTTATTCTGTTAGCCTATTTTAAATGTTCATTTCCATGATGTGGGAAAGGCTAAACTGCATTACTCTGTGAGGTTGAGCTGATGCTCTTAGTGATTTTCATATTCATTATGCATGGTGTGTTAAGTGCGGGACACACTTGATGAAATCACCTATATGATTGTGAGGTGAGGCCGCTTCCATGAAGCACTGACAATGCTTCTAGAGCACTCAAGAACACCAAGCACGCGCATGGCCTAGAGGCGCACAACGGCGTTAACAACGAGGAATTGTGGGGGGTAAGACATGACCATTAAGACCCTGATTCACCAATAGTAGCTAGTTGGTTCAAGAAACTATACGTTTCACCAAAAGCTCGGTTTATTAAGACTTAATCGTCTCGGTTTGGTTCAAGTCTACGGATACCAAACTTAAAGTCTCATTCCTTAATCCAGCAGAAATTTTTTAAACTAAATTCTCGAAAATCTCAAAATATTCATTTGAAATATGTGGGGGATTGTTGAAAAAATTAGGAGTATTTCAAATGAATAAATATTTTCTTTATTCATTATTCATCATTAAATTTAACCCTATAAAGTTTTCTCAACACTCAATCTTCTTAAATTTTTACAACGTTCAACTTATTCGTTAATGCAAGTTTGAGCAAAAATAATTGAGCTGCTATCAAAACGGTTTGAGACTTGTGAGCTGCAAGTTTTTTATTATTATTAAATATTATGATTAATACTCCAACGTTCAAGTTTTGAGGCTCGGTTTACCTGATGCATTATTGCATGTAAATGATCAGGTGATAATCTTTAGCCTTTAAACCTATCTGCCACAAAACGTTAAGTTTGAAAACTTCAATAATAAACAGAACGTTTGAAACTATCCAAACATTATTATTCTTTTAATATGAAGGCATTTAAAACATTTATTGAGCAATTACCATCTGTCCGTGCAATCCTTTCACCTGGCAGGAACGTTTACTTGTTGCTAGTATTTAAAGGAGTTGCCATGGTTCTTTTACTGGAAAATTATCGATTCTAATATTACACTGCTGGATTAATAAGTTCCTACTCCCGTTGTTCTGTTACCGACTTACGTCGAAGAGCTCGTTTTATCTTGGGGAAAGGTTTTCGCTAGTCGGAAATACTTTCTTGAGGACATCGTTTACGCGACTCGAGCTATTTTATTTCTCTAACGTTTTTGCAGGTTTATTCGGACGAACCACCCAACAATCTTTTGGGAATAATTTGTTACTAATTTCGTTTTTCGATCTCATTTTTTTTACCCCGGAAGGTAAACCACCCATCAGTGGGGCAAGTACCGGGGGTCAGTTGCCTGAGTTTTATTAATATAGTGAAATACAAAGAGAGGGGGAGCGGACGAAAAACCTCTCAACAAAGAAGGTACATGAAGAATAACAAAATACAAGATAAATTTGAAGCAAGACTTGACCCAAAATTAGTCAAATCAAATTAAAAGCGAAATCTGGGAAATCCAAAAAGATCAGCATAATAACTTGTTTTTGATCTGATTAGAAAATCAAACTATTTAGCAACATCAAAGCTACTCGTGCAAAAAACAACAACATCAAAGCTACTATTGTGTACTGAAATCTAAAATATGTTTTTAATTGGATTGAAAATTTATGATCTGGTTTGATCTGATCTGAACTGGTCTGGTCTGATTAGTGTCTGATCTCTGTGTATTTTATACTCAGAGCCGGCCATGGGGGGTAGGCACCTAGGCAATGGCCTAGGGCACCACTCCCATGGGGGCATCATTTTTTAGTAAGAAAGCTGTTTTCATATATATCAATATTAATATAGTAATATATCAATATATATTAAAATTACTATAGAGCAGCTTTAGAGACCGAAGCTCCTATTGATTTATAGAAAAATGGATGAGGGAATAAGCCTACGTTTCCGGTGTGGGACGTGCGAGTAGAATAGCATAAATCCATTTTTGTTCTTATATTGGAATGGAAAAGGCATTCACTTGTATAAAACCGGTGTGGGACGCATTCCATGGGTACTATCATTGCACGCAGTATGTTGATTCCAGTAGTACGTGGTGTGGGAAGAAACCTAGCTCACTTTTGTTTTGACTTATTGACTTATTATAATAATTATTACTATTATTATTATTTCCAATCAATTTCTTTAATTCAATGTTTTATATAGTACGTATCTTATAAGTTTTATTAATATAGGATTTGAAAGATTTGTTCACTATCAATAAGAGATCTGAAAGATGAAATGTGTCGAGACATGGCATAAATAGTTGAAAATAATCTAAGATATAAAACACCATGAATGTAAAAAAAAATTGAAATATTGTATAATCGTATTAAACTAATATACTTTTATGAAGAAAACTGTTCAAAAACTAGCAATAAAATTAATAAAAAATTAATTAAATAAATCAAAATTACTGATAATTTAGGTCTTTGATAGATAATTTTCAATCATCCGGATCTTATATTGACACGCTTTATCTTTTCAGACTCCTTATTATAGTAAATTTATCTTTCAGGTTCATGATTGATAAAATTTCAATTTATTTGTACTGAAATATTACAAAAAATGTAATTTTTGTATGTAATATTACATATACATATAAAATAATATTACCCATTTGGCCATCCTGCCCGTCTTCGAACCAGGTAAAGACCGACCTTCAATATAATTTGATATATTTCAAACTTTGATTTCTTCTATTCTTCTGCAATTCACCATTCCGTATCCAAATTAGAAACTGAAATTTGTAAATGACCTTTTCTACATCCAATTTATTAATTATTATTTATAAAATATACTCCCTCCGTCCCAATATAAAAGGCACATTTGCGTTTGGGGACTTTTTAAGGGTGAACACTGTTTGAACACTGTTTGGCACTGTTTAGACACTGTTTGGCACTGTTTGGACACTGTTTGGCACTGTTTGACATTGTTTTGTTTGCCAAAAAGGGAAATGTGCCTTTTATATTGGGACGGACCGAAAAGGAAAGTGTGCCTTTTATATTGGGACAGAGGGAGTATTAAACTTGAAAATTTGTGTTATATATATTTCTTTTAGTTTCTTACAGCTATTCGGTTTTCACATACTTTATATCAATTTTAAGTCACGTATTTCTTTTTACATTTAGTAAAAATGGTTTTATAATTTTCTAATTACTTCATATTTAATTATGTTATTAATTTGAAGTACTATTTGATCTCCTTAGTCATTTTTTGTCTGGGGCATCAAAATTTCTGTAGACGGCCCTGTTTATACTCCGTCCGTCCCATTTTGGTTGTCTTACTTTCTTTTTTGGGTTGTTCCAAAATGGATTTCATGTTTCCCTTTTTGGTAAGAAATTTGTGGTTCATATTATTTCACTTTATTCTACTTTAATCTCAACCATAACTTTTACTTTTCAACAACTTTATTAATAATCGTACCAAATTGAAATGAGACACCCATTATGGGATGGAGGTAGTAACTATGTAAGTCTGGTGTAATTTGATCTGGTCTGATCTAGTTTGAGACCGTAAACAATCCTAATAAAAACATATTAGGATTGTAACACCGAAAGAAACAACATATTTACACACATATATAAACATATTAGCATAGAGTTCATTGCAATACTAACATAAAATCCAATATCTTTAAAAAATACTAGCATACAATCCAATATTGAATAACTACATCTATGAAAGAGGTATGCAGTGTAACACCGAAAGAAAAAACATATTTACACACATATATAAACACTAGCGGTAGCACGCGCTACGCGCGAGGGTGGATGCCCAACGGTAGAACAAGGGTGGGAGGAAATGCAGAATACGGAGAAAAGGGTAAAGGGAGACATAATAGATTAAAAGTTTAGTGCAGTTAAAGGAGTGCAGTTTTAAAACATAGGGAACAAGCAGCAATAAATGAGGAAAAGATAAGGAACAAGCAAAATGACATGAGGGAAAAAAAGGTTGCAGTGGATCAAGCATGGTCAGCAACGTTGGTGTACGCCAAGCTGCGAATCTCGTACTCGTGTTTCTCACGGGGTGGCTCTTCTATTCCGCATGTTGAAATGGCAAGGAGGCAAAGTCTGCCCCGATCATTCTTAAAGAAAGCCAGACTGGAAGTTTGGTTGATGTGAAAAGCCATGCGAATTTCTTGCAAAAGATCCATTTCCACGCCCAAGAAATGCTCTGGTTCAGTCCCATGTTCAATGAGTATCCTTCCGCGTTTATCGCAGCACTGGTTCAAAAATACAACACATGTCGCCTGCAATAAATGACAAAACGTATGTATGAGTTGATGGTTGCAATTGCAAATGAAACTGAATAGGCAAAAGGGATTACCTCTGCAATTTTCCCGGGCATGTATAGAAACGAAGCAGCCCGAAATAGCTGTCTGTATGAGCAGTTTGGCATAGCAGATTCTACATACACTGGGAAATGGTCTGTGAGGCATGGACAATAGAATTGTTGAGACATGGTTAACCGGGGTCGGATAGATTATAAAAAAATAATTGGTAAAGAACAAACCTCCGGGCAGTACAAGGTCATACTCAAGAGGAGGTGGTGTACCCAAGTTGAGAGAGAAACCTTCAGTGTCAAATAGTAAGACTTCAAAAGTGAAATTCCCGATGTGGCGGAGCAGGACAGAGCTAAGAAAGAATGAAGTAACTAACAAGAATATGTTGATTTTTTTTATCAAAGAGCTAAGAAAATAGATGATTCCTTAAGCAAGGAACTTGTATTGTTTTTACTGAACCACATAAAATTTTATTGAACGCCATATCTCAAGTGATGCACGTATCACAAAATCACCTGACAATAAACCTAGGCGTTCTGCTGCAGCCCTATATGTGGCCATTGCATCGCTGCCTACACTTTTAAGGTCCACAAATGAAGTGGGACCACGCACATTGGATAACAAGAGTCGCAGATAATAGCGTTCCCCTTCCATGGGATTCACAGTCACAAGTCTGCCAATAACTTCTTTGCGTTTGCGTTGAGTCCATTGTTTACGTTGATTATTCCAAACAAAATAATGTGGAAATTCAACATAAAGAAGGTGCAGGGATTTTGCAACATGATCAGATGCATTCATGGCAAAAAATTGTGTTAGCATTGTTTTCATAGAATCCATAGCACCTGTGATGTACGTTATGCGTTGGTTACCATAAAAGGTTAGATAATGAGCATTTTCCAAGTGGACTTGCAGTTGAAGTACGGCGGGACGCATTTGTGAGATGGGAAAACTGAATATACGCCATGCAGCTTCAGGTGCAGATACCCACCGGGCTTTCTGAAAATCAGAAATTTCATCTATTAAACCCTCCTCTCCCGACTCAGACAATGACATGCTAACTCGATCATGCCCTTTATACACATATTTGTAGATATATTTCACTGACCGAACACTTGCACACACTTCTACGTTGATGTGGCAATCAAATTTGCGTAACAAATGGCTGTTATAAGGGACAATCCAACGGTTGTCAAGTTTGTGTTTCCTCACTTCGACAGTAATTCCAGTGTCACGTCTGCGGTACGAAGGGAAGCAGTCTTCATCAAACACTGTGAGAGGGGAAAAGGTGTGTGGATATTTGCTCCTGCATTTTGGGTCTGTTGAACCGTGTGACAAAACCATGCAAGGGCACTGCGGATTGATCACACCGCAAGGTCCATGTATCATATGTTTTTTAACAAGTTGATATGTTTCAGGATCCGCAATAGGATCTGGTATTTCAGCACTAATAAGTTGGTCGCAATGGGAAGGAGTTGATATCTTACATTCCCTTGAGAGGATTAGCAAAAAATGTGTGTGGGGAAGACCTCTCTTTTGGAACTCAATGACATATGTGTGTGCAACTACCTTGCCAAATAAAGACCTGCCCACAATGTCTTTTTTGAATTCTTCTAGACGTGCGCGGAACACACGCGCAACAAGATCAGGTCGATTTTGCGCTTCATCAACATATTTCAAATGCTCTTTGATTTCAGGCCAGTTTGGGTTGCACGTAATGGTAATGAAGAGATCCGGCTTACCATATTTCTGGACCAATGCCATTGCGTCCATGTAACGACAACGCATGTCGCGGGGTCCACCAATGAATGAACCAGGCAGCATTATACGACGACCAACATCGTTGGTGTTGTGTATACCTGCGCCTACGCTGTCAACTAACCCTTGATATGTGTCACCGCGATATTCACGTTGTTTGCTTCGGTAATAATCAAGTCGCTGCGTTTCAATCTTGATATATAAATCAACTATGTATTGTTGAAAAAGACGTCCAGAATGAACGACAAATGACGTGTTCCCATGGCGTAACTGCAATTTATATGCACAATACTGGCGACAAGAAACTGACTGGCCTTTATTGGCATCAGTAAGCAAATGCTCCTCCCCCGCTATCAATGACTCATCCGTCGCAAAATTGTTGCAATTAATGGTACACGAGGAGGAAGGTGCTGAACCATCTTGCAGAACGTTAATATTTCCTTTGGGAATTCCCTCGTGCCACCCTACTTCTCCACGAGGGAACAAAAGCGGATATTGGAGCGGGTCATAACATCCATAGTAATAATGGATACTTTGAGACCTTCCACTGTGGGCGTATACACGTATGTTTCTGTTAGAAGCCACACCATCATTTCCATCCTCTATCCAGACCGCGGCGACCTGAGATGATGTTGGACGATTATAAACGCGCTGATCAAGCTTAGGATTTCCGTTGAGGACAATGGAAAATTCATCTGATTTGTCAAGCTCATTCAACGTTTTAAAAAATTGCGCATATGGGTTTGCAGACATTACTTCCATCAGTAATTGGACTATATCTTTGTCCAACCGATCCGTTGCCTCCAGTCTGCTACCAAGTGCGTAATCTGTGTCGTAGAAATATAATTGAAGATTCCGAGGAGGACAACCATCGGGGAGCAAGCTATCAATGAAGTGATATATTTGGCCTTGAACCTTAAACGTGTATATCCCTTGGTTTCTACGGCATAGGTTTTTGTCGTAATTGTAGATGCCGATGGATGTGAAAGCAAATGTGTTGTTATATGTGCGCACACATGATCGAAAGTGTTTTGATAAAGGATCATGGGCAGTAAATAAGCGAACAAGCTGTTCAGGCATTTCAGTTGAGATTAACACAACCTCACCCTTGCTGCAACACATGCCTGCAGACTCATATTGGAAGCGTTCAGCACCACAGAATAAGCAATCAGGAATACGTTGAAGGTGGTACCCATTATTGGCATAAGGCAGGGTACTGCTCGACTGCCCTGCAGATGACTGCAGTGAAACCAGTGCTGGCATTTTCACAGAAGTTAACATGTGCCGAGGAACACGAACATTCCAAAGGCAAACAGAAACGTCAAAAATCAGAAACATGTGCACACATGTGAGGAGCACGCACGACACCAAGTGGATGCAAAGACCACAACACCAAAAAAGTGGGTATATCAGACATATACACGGCATGTGGGCATTTTTTTGGGCAATCAGGCAGGGCGCAACGAATAGAGCGTTCAATAGATATGGTGGCCAGGGAAAAAATAATATTTCAAGGGCACATGGAAACATCAATAGGTAAAGGTAAACAGATGATTGATGACAGGATGGGCAAGGTTCGAAGAAAGGGGAAATTTGAAGAGAAACAATAAACAACAAGTTAGACCGAATCACAACCAGATGGTGAACAACATTATAAATAAAGATGCGCGCATATACGGGAACAAACCATGGGTAGAAGTGGAAGCAGAGCGGCCACTACTGCCTGCTTTCCTCTGATTGTATGTCAGGCGTCGGCGTTTCAGAAGAGCTTCATGTCTCTCTTCTTCAGACAACTGGCGGTTTGATCCCCTAGGACGCCCCATACCCGCTACGGTAATGAAACACATAGGTTCAAACACTATTGAACCGCAGGCTTATCAAGACTAAAACACTACTGATCCCCTAGGATGCAGTGGTGAGTGGTGTGCAAAACGCATCACCGGCAACGCAATTATACTGTTTATACGTGGTGGTTCACTTTTCGGGCCGTCAAGAAAGGGGTAGTGTGACATAAAAAGAGTTGATACCATTCAAGACCGCGACATTAATCAGGTAATTACATTTCTTGGTTAGATGTTACAGTAAATCACTTGTTTTTTCGAGGTTTACAAAGACCATGAGGGTATTATTTGAATCATTGCACACTTGCACAGTGGATATGTGTCTATTCTATATCTTCTAAGTCAAAATTCTTACTATTTTGGTAAAACAAGTAACTGGGTCTGTGCGTTTGGCTCCAGTAAAATGTTTGTTTTTGTTTTATATTCTTAGACGCTGTTGAGTGAAATTCATGTTTTCAGTTAAATGATATATCCCACTGTATATGTTTTTCTACTTATTCATTGTCCAAAGCTTACCTAGCAATAAAGAATGTCATTTGATATTGCATATTTTTCTAATACTTATGGGATGTTGTGATATATCAAATCTTACTTTTCTATCATAGTCTATGTTTAACTATCTGGTTCTTGTTTTGTGATCTACTTTGTTATCTAGAATGCTTATTTTCATTTTCTTGCAAAACCTTCTCTATTTGTGTGGTTCAAGCTCATATCAATTATGTTTATCCCTTTCATTTACAGGAAATGCATTTAGCTTATCTTGTTTGGTTCAGAAACTTCATCAAGTGGAACAGAGAGGTTCAAAGAACCGAACAAGTCCTCAATTCTCATGTGTTCTCCGACTTCTTCAGGTATGTTATAGTTTAGCATTAATAACAGAGTAGAGTGTGTTTTATGATAGTTCTATAAATATTGAACATTGTTATTTTTATATGGGTGTACTCAAACTGCTTTCATAAACTCATGTTTGTATTTTTTAAATTCTGTAAATATTAGATGGTTGAAAAAATATAGTTTAGTGAAAACATGTTTATTAGCACATTGATTGGCATGCTCCCATATTTTCTAAATGGTTTTTTATTTATATTTTCCATTTTTGCTTCTCATGAAAAAATAAAACCAAAACACTGAATAGTTTTTTCAGAAAAAAAATAAAGCAAATTATGTGATTGTGTACTGTCTATATTACCCTCTGTGGTTCAATCTGCTTTTTTAAATTCTTATTTATGTGTTCGAGCATGTTAAATTCTTAATTTTCTTATAGATTGGTTTCTCAGCATCAACAGTTGCTTCAAGATTTGGCAAAGCCATTTGAGAAAACAAGGAGCTTGAAGATTTGTCTCATGCATGAAAACAGTTGCTTACTTTTCTCTGTTTCGTAGCTGCTGTATTATGTCATTATAATCAGCCTTTTTGGGTATTCTGAATGCATAGCAATGAGGAAAATGAACAGATTAGAGAAGAGACAGACCTCGAGCTAAGGGCAGCCTGTTAAACCCGGAGTTAATTGAACAGATCAGCCTGTTAAGTCTAGAGCTAATTGAATAGGTCGGGATTACATTTTGTATCTATTTGGGTTGATTTGATATAAATAAATTGAATAAAGAATAGTCCCTACTCTTACAAATGCTAATGATTTTTCTAAAATATACAAAAACTTGTGATTGACAATTAACTCCAAATGGAGGTAGGCGTGCAACAAAATAACTATGTTTTTGTGTTAGTTTTAAACATGAGTTTAAGTTCACTCTTCCTTTGATGATATTTTAAACATCATACTGTTATGTATGATGGGGGGTCAGTTCAGTAAACTGGGTTGAGGGTGCCAACGTTTGCGTGGGGAAGAGGGGGGGGGGGGGGGATGAGGAAAACAGTAACATACTAAATCCCACACACACATAGATAAAAAATAACTACAAAACAAAACAAATTAATATTGATGCCTGCAAATTAAATGAATGCATCATGAACACCTCGGATACACCAAACATAAAATAATTTCAAACTTAAAAGACATAACAAATCCAAATCCAGCATCTGGAAATCTCAAATACCACAGCCCACTACCAAAAAAGGGAAAATATTCAGTTTGTCAACAATTCGCACACCCACCACCCCAAAATAAAAAAATAAAAATAAAAGCAATCAGCATGATTGAGAGTAGAACAAATAAATATGGCACAAACAGGAAAGGAGGGCAAAGACAAATAATTTAGGGTAATTTACTCACAGCGATGGAAGAACAAACGCAAAGCTCACCAAGCTGAAGCAAATGAGAAAGCAAACGCCGAAGACGGAACAATGAACGGATGAAATGAAACTATGTAGCCCATCTTGTAGGAGTCAGCAAGCAGCTAAATTCACCGACCGCCCATACCTCAAGCGGTGGAATTTGGGATAATGTCAGAGATATTTTCTGGATGTCAAGCGCGTCAGAGTTTAGGATAATACGCCCGGATAATTTTCAGTTTTGCGACCCCAAACAGATGGAAGATAACGGTATCATTCCGTCAGATATCCCTTGCGCATATTTGAAGACTTCCGTCCCACTGTAGCAACGTATAATTACCCAAGATAACTACCTTAGCCCCTTTATATATATAAGGATATTAGCATAGAGTTCATTGCAATACTAGCATAAAATCCAATATCTTTAAAAAATACTAGCATAAAATCCAATATCTAAATAACTACATGTTGCTTGCTTTGTAATTGTAATCAAAATTTACATTTTTTCACAGCTCATTTATTTTTATAATCTTATTACTTGGTACTAATTAAACATTAAAACATTGTATGTTGACATGTTGTTCTCTAAAATACATAAAACAACTTATATGATCACCATAACTAACATAACATAAATGTATTGTTAGTGAAATTAATAGTAGATTAAAGTTAATATTCCCTCCGTCACTTTGGATTTTGTTAATTTTCT